TCACCAGGGAGGGCCCTCTGAGTGAGCATTTTTAATGGGATTAAGGCATACTGTAGCACTATTAGATGATATAAATTTGTATTACTCTAAACTGCAGTATCACTTAAAATTTTCTGTTCTCAGAACCTAGTTTCTATGCCTTTAATTTAAAATTTTGACATCCATAATTCAGTTTCCTTTTTATCAGTTCCTGCTAATCAGTAGACTCTCCTTCCATATTATTCTCATGATGGTGATTTCCATGAGGCCTACTTTAATATCTCTTCCTTTTCAGTGTTTTGTAATGTTTTGGTTTGTGCTATTAGAGTTTGCCTTTTAAAATAAGCGTCGCTACTGTCTATTCTGTCTGTCACCATCATTAACCTTTAAGGCCAGAAACTGTTTTTCATATTTTGATCCATAGCATTCTGTCCAGTATTTAATTGTAATTTTACAAAATACCAAATAATGGTTGAACTTCTTAGTAAGTGGATCTAGGGTATCATAACATTCCTGCACACATACTATACTTAATATATTGTTAATTGTAGAATAATTTAAAAATAATAACAAAATTTAACATACTTAAAATCAGGGCACAATCCTTTTTGACAGGTGAAAGTCATCATTTAGTTGTTATTGCCTCAGAATGTGAGAATTTGGTCACATTTCATTGCTTAAATTGAGATACATTCATTGTTTGACAGCATCTTAGTCTTTAAGAGAAGAAAAACCCAGGTCATAGGAATGTCTCTCCAAGAAACATGAAAGAAAAAGGGTTTCCCTGAGATCAGAAAACGATAATTTCCCAGTGCTAAGGACAGGTGGAGTGCAGGCAAAACAAGGTTGGAGTAATAAGGAAAAAATGCTGTAGATGCTTACAAAATGATGCTATTTGTAACTACTAGGTAAACTAATACCATTTGAAGATTATTGCATAATATTAGGGACTTTTTGAATAGATAAAAAGGCTGGTTTTAAAGTCTGAAATTTTATATTTTACTTATTTTTATAACCTACTGGACTTCAGATTTGAGACTTGTCAGAGAAAAAATACAGTAGAATTTTCTAGTCATTCCCTCACATAAGGCTTATTTGATATCTAGATTAAATGTTATAGGATCTTTTCTATAGTTCTGCTACTGAAATTTATTATAAATGCTGAATTTGATATTATTTAATAAATTTGTCTTAGTTGCCTTCACGTTTAAAGAAAATAAAGTGCTCCCAAAAGTACAATCTAAGTCTGATTTTGAATCTATAGGGGGACAAATCATGATCCAAGACTCATTGAAAATTTTATCCACTTTAAGACCACATTTAGTGGTCTACCATCTAAATACTTATACATAACATACATAACATTTAATTCTTATTTGTCATTTTATTAACAACCTTAGCAGAGTCCCTGATTCATACTGTGTACTCAGTAAATAACTGTTGAATGAATAAGAGAATGAGGGAATGAATGAACGAATAGTGTCCAGCCAAACTGTTTAAAATGGCTAACTTCAGTTTAAAATTAGCATACCTCTCCTAAGCTTCCAGCCACCTGAATTGTCTTGTGCACATTTGCAGTTTTACAACCTTTTTCACCTATCACTGAATAGTTACTTTACAGAATGTCCCTTCATTTAGATTTGACTGATGTTTCTCATGATTTACCCATTTTTGTTAGGAATAACACTAAAGTCATGTGGTATTCTTGTCAGTATATTGTATTAGGAGGTACACAAAGTAGATTTCTACTGATTTTAATTTTTAATAGCTTATAGGGAGATACTTTGAGACTTTCCTGGGTGTTTTCTTTTCTGCTTTTGTATTTCTTTCCATTAGTTTTTCAGTTATTTTTATCTGTTTGGATTCATAGATTCCTATTTTACCCAAAGGGTTTTTACTCATTACCATCATAAGCTAGACAGCTTATGAAGATTTCTGTCTTCCCATATGTAACCAGTCTCCTGAAAGGTTATGCCTTGGAGTTGCCATGCCCTGCTCCCATTTCCTTTGGAAAGGGGAATGAGGGAGAGAAGAATTGTAGCCAACTCTTCTAATTGATACAGGAGAGCTTTTAGCAAAAATAACAGATGGTTTGCCTAGGATATGGTAAATTATAGTCTCTGAAATGTCAGAGAAATAAAGCAGAAAAGGCAAGTGAATACCTGGAAAAGCAGCTTCTAGGAAGACGAGTAAAAATCTAATCCTAGTGCTTTTCCTTAAATTGACCTTACATATTTATCTTTGCTGACCATGATACAGAAGCAATCTAAAATGGCTTTAAAATGCTACTACAAGTTATC